TTCGAAACCAGCCTGAGCAAGAGTGAGACCCTGTCTCTACTCTAAATAGAAAGAAATTAATTGACCAACTAATATATATAGAAAAAATTAGCTGGGCATGGTGGTGCAGGCCTGTAGTCCCAGCTACTCGGGAGGCTGAGGCAGAAGGATTGCTTGAGCCCAGGAGTTTGAGGTTGCTGTGAGCTGGGCGCGCACGGCATCACTCTAGCCTGGGCAACAAAGCGAGACTCTGTCTCAAAAAAAAAAAAAAAAAATTTAATAAAAACAAATCACTTTATAAACAATCTGGCAAATGATGAATAACAAATCTAAGTACATTTGCAAAAATAACTATTTTCTTAGCTTCAGCACTACTGACATTTAAGGTCAGATCATTCTTTGTCGTGACAACTGACCTAAGTGCTGTAGGATGTTTAGAAGCATCCTTAGCTTCTACTCTCTACACAGGTCAGTAGTACCCCTCCAACACCACCCAGTTATAACAATTAAAAATGCCTCCAGTTGAGAGCCACTGTTTTAAACAAACTATACTGCTGTTTAAGAGACAGTGTTAATTCCTATATCCTAGAAAAATGAGACTTTAATTTAAAAATTTTTGTTTCAGTCTTAGGCCCTAAGTTTTATTTATATTCTAACCCAATTTTTTTTTTTTTTTTTTGAGACAGAGTCTCACTTTGTTGTCCAGGCTAGAGTGAGTGCCGTGGCTTCAGCCTAGCTCATAGCAACCTCAAACTCCTGGCTCAAGCGATCTCCCTGCCTCAGCCTCCCGAGTAGCTGGGACTAAGGCATGCGCCACCATGCCCGGCTAATTTTTATATATATATCAGTTGGCCGATTAATTTCTTTCTATTTATAGTAGAGACGGGGTCTCACTCTTGATCAGGCTGGTTTTGAACTCCTGACCTTGAGCAATCCGCCCGCCTCGGCCTCCCAAGAGCTAGGATTACAGGCGTGAGCCACAGCGCCCAGCCTCTAACCCAATTTTTAAGTGTAATTTTTCCCTTACCAATTGGGTAACTGTGTTATTAATTTAACCTGATGTGCAAATATCCCTTTTTCACACTTCCACAAAATACATCTACCTATAATGGTTTTTAAAACAGAAAATGCACAGAATGTAAATCCAAATGAGAATTATGGTAGAAGTTCTATGTAACTCTCTGCTCTAGTTAACAGGTATACGGCAAACTAAAAGATAAATTATTTATAAATACCTAACCTACTGAGCCTCACTCCAATCTTACCATGTTTATAGTATAAACAAACCATTTGTTTTATATTCAAATTCAAAGAAAAGAAAATCTACTCTTGAAAAACAGTGCTAACTTCATTCCTAATTTCAGAGCTGCACTCCCATTCTGCAGATTCTGTAATGTGAATAAAAATCTCTAGATATGCAAGTCAATAAATGTGATTCACCACATAAACAGAATTAAAACAAAAACCATACCATCATCTCAACAGATGCAGAAAAAGCATTCGATAAAATCCAGCATCCCTTCATGATAAAAATCCTCAACAAACTAGGCACAGAAGGAATATACCTCAAATTAGTAAAAGCCATATATATATGACAAATCCACAGCAAACATCATACCAAACAGGGAAAAGTTGGAAGAATTCCCCCTAAGAACTGGAACAAGACAAGGATACCCACTGTCACCATTTCTAGTTAACAGAGTACTGAAGTCCTAGAACCAGAACAGTTAGGCAAGAGAAAGAAACAAGGGGTATCCAAACTGGAAAAAAGGGAATCAAATTATCTGTTTGCTGACAATATGATCTTATATCTAGAAAATCCTAAAGACTTCTTCCAAAGAACTACTAGATTTGACAAATGAATTCAGTAAAGTCTAAGGTTACAAAAATCAATGTAAACAAATCAATAGTATTTCTATATAACAATAACAACCAAACTAAGAACCACATCAAGAACTTAATCCCATTTATGATAGTGGCAAAAAATAAAATAAAATAACTAGGAATATATTTAACCAAGGAAATGAAAGATCTCTAACAGGAAAACTACAAAACACTCATTAATGAAATCAAAGTTGACACAAACAAATGGAAAAACATCCCATGTTCACAGACTGGAAGAATCACTATTGTCAAAATGATCATAACGCCCAAAGCAATCTATGGATTCAGTAAAATTCCTACCAAAATAACCAATATCATTTTTCACCGACTTAGAAAAAATAAACCTAAAATTCATATGGAACCAAAAATGTGCCCAATACCCAAAGCAATTCTAAGCAAAAAGAACAAAACTGGAGCCATCACCTAATCTGATTTCAAATTCTACTATATTCTACTATATTCTACAGCATGGTACTGGCATAAAAGCAGACAGTATCCTAAGTGAAGTAACTTAAGAACAAAAACCAAATATCACATGTTCTCACAAGTGGGAGCTACGCTATGGGTATTCATGGTCACATGGAGTGGCATAATGAACACTGGGGACTCAGAAGAGGAGAGACTGGGAGAGAATCAAGGATAAAAATTACCTATTTGGTACAATGTACACTATTCAAGTGATGAGTACACCTAAAGCCCAGACTTCACTACTATACAACACATCCATGTAACAAAATTCCACTTGTACTCGCTAAATCTATTGAAATTTTTAAAAATAATAAACATTAAAATTAGGCAAAAAGGAATTTGGTTTTTCAGCCTCTTCCCTTATTAAGGAGAAGGGCTTTGGTTTTTCAGTGTCACTGCTATTTTTACAACTGGATTCATGAAATAAAAAGTGAGACATTCAACTCAGGAAATTACACTCCATTCCCCCAAATTAACTACCATAACAAAATAATTACTTTCCATTTATAAAATACTAAAATTAAGTCTTTCTTTCATTACCAAAAAAACTTTATAAACACAAACTGGGATCCTAAATTCATAACCAAGAAAGATGCAACTTAAAAATTACTACTGCAGGGCCGGGCGTGGTGGCTCACGCCTGTAATCCTAGCACTTTGGGAGGCCGAGGCGGGCAGATTGCTCAAGGTCAGGAGTTCGAAACCAGCCTGAGCGAGACCCCATCTCTACCAAAAATAGAAATAAATTAATTGACCAACTAAAAATATATATACAAAAAATTAGCCAGGCATGGTGGCGCATGCCTGTAGTCCCAGCTACTCAGGAGGCTGAGGCAGTAGGATTGCTGAGCCCCGGAGACTGAGGTTGCTGTGAGCCAGGCTGACGCCACGGCACTCACTCTAGCCTGGGCAACAAAGTGAGACTCTGTCTCAAAAAAAGAAAAAAAAAGAAAAAAAAAATTACTACTGCAAAAACAAAATCAAATTATATACATCTCATTCAAAAAGACATCATAGTAAGAAAACTATCATATAGTTCACAGATACTTAATATGGTAATTTAAAATTCAAGTTCATTCTAAGCAAGAGAAAACTCCAACATCAAATAGTCATAGCTACTCAGGAGGCTGAGGCAGTAGGATCAGTTGAGCCCAGGAGTTCGAGACCATCCTGATCCATCAATTTAGCCCTCAGCAATTCAAATTCTTATTGATCACCCACAGATGAGAGTATTTTTTCAAGAAAATTAAAACATTCTGCCTAATTTAAATTTGATAGAATTTTACTTATCCTAAACAATCCTGATCTAAAGTAAAACAAACGTGATTCTAATATATTTTTAGTAATGAATTTATAGTTAACTAAGACAAACTAAGCCATCCTTCACACCACATGTATAAATTCCCAACTAGACAGTAATGTTTATTTCCCTTTTATAAGAATATGTCCTTAATTAAATTAAGCATATATACACACATACGGTGATAAACATGAACTGTAAGCTCTTCAAAGACCCACATTAAGGTCAAAAAACAGTGAGACTTTTTTCTTCTCACAGTCTCTCAGAGTAAAAGAAAAATAAAAAAATAAGACTTAAAAAATTCTAATTTGGTTATCATAAAACAACAAAAAAGGCCTCTTGAGTGTCACAGAGATCAGGAAAGACCTAGACCTAGCAGATCTATATTCCTCTTCCTTCAACTTCCCTATGATGATTCCTGGGTAAACCCAACTTGGCTCCCAACAACATGGTGGCTCCACCACAGCAGCAGGAAACTCACTCCTATCTTCACTAAGGGCCATGCCTAGAATATTGAGGGATCACACGAAAAAAAGAAATACTTAAAGCTGTCCCTGTCAAATTTTTATTTTCAATCAGAAAAGCCTTAGGCAAATATTAAATTTAAATAATGGAAAAATCCAGGCCGGGCGCAGTGGCTCACACCTGTAATCCTAGCACTCTGGGAAGCCGAGGCAGGAGGACTGCTTGAGCTCAGGAGTTCAAGACCAGTCTGAGCAAGAGCAAGAACCCCGTCTCTACTATAAATAGAAAGAAATTAGCCTAACAACTAAAAATAGAAAAAATTAGCCAGGCATGGTGGCACATGCCTGTAGTCCCAGCTACCTAGGAGGCTGAGGCAGGAGGATCACTTGAGCCCAGGAGTTTGAGGTTGCTGTGAGCTAGGCTAACGCCATGGCACTCTAGCCAGGCAACACAGTGAGACTCTGTCTCCAAAAAAAAAAAGAAAAGAAAAATTCCATCTCTTGGTATAGAAATTATTTCTAAGACATTAATTTTGACTTAAAATATTTTTCAAGGCCGGGCGCGGTGGCTCACGCCTGTAATCCTAGCTCTCTGGGAGGCCGAGGCGGCGGATGCTCGAGGTCGGGAGTTCGAAACCAGCCTGAGCAGAGCGAGACCCCATCTCTACTATAAATAGAAGAAACTAATGGCCAACTAATATATAGAAAAAAAAAAAAATTAGCCGGGCAGGGTGGCTCATGCCTGTAGTCCCAGCTACTTGGGAGGCTGAGACAGAAGGATTGCTTGAGCCCAGGAGTTTGAGGTTGCTGTGAGCTAGGCAGACGCCATGGCACTCACTCTAGCCTAGGCAACAAAGCGAGACTCTGTCTCAAAAAAAAAAAAAAATATTTTTCAAGTTTAGTTACCTCTGCTTCTACATCCACGTTTTGCTTCAAAAGTAACTTCAAAATGTCAACATGTCCATTCTGACTAGCAGCTTGCATAGCTGTATGGCCAGCACACTGCCCATTTACCTAAAAAAAAAGAAAAAAGGATGAATGAACATCACAAATCAAAAAGAGCCTAGATATACAGGAGATATATATATATATACACACACTCACACATACATGTATAGTATAGGTTTAAATCTAGTACACTGTATGATTCTACAAGAATAATTTAGGTTGGTGTTCCATGTATCAGTACAGATACCAGAGACTCTTTAATTTAGAGAAAACAGGCAAGAATTTTTTTTAAAAAACAAAAGTCCTATTGTTCAAAGAACTATAAAAGAACTGTTTAGCCACTCTGCAAAGTAGAAAGAAGGAAGGAAAGGAAATAAGGGAGGGAGGAAAGGAAGTAAGTTAGTTTTGGGTATATACACTTCTTTTGGGATCATTATTATTATTATCTCAGAGTCCACAGTCCAGTGAAAAAAGCACTGAGGTGAATGGAAAACTTGAAAAGATATTGGCTGTTAAGTACAAATAAATTCAACTCAACAAATATACCAGATACCAACTATAGGCAAACTACTATGATGAACACATAAATGAGTAAGCAAGATGGCAATACGCAATAAAGCAATATTATATATAGCCATCTTGCTATACCACCTTTTCTTCACTTCAGATGTTGTTTACATGCATAACTTACCCATGGACATATCCAAAGCCAAGTGCAATTCTTTATTTCCACCTCTTTCACTCCCATTCACAAAACCATAAAAGATGGTAGCCTAGCCACAGGTTTATATCTTATCCACCTAAAGCCACACTAAAATGACAGTAAAATATAAAAATCCATAAAGACAAAGAGAAAGGGAGAACATGTGAAAACAAGAAAAAATAACATTTTTGTGAAAGAGACAAAACAGATGGGAAAGTGTTAACTGACTTTACAGAGAACAGGAAGCCAACATGTAAAGAACACAGAAAACCCCCGACAAACACAAGCACATCAGAGGGCTAACAAGAAGGGCCCCAAGGATAAGTCTGATGTGCAAGTGCAATGGCCACGCTATAAGGCCACTCCTCAAACTCAAGGACAGGACACTAGCTGCTGCATACTCTTCCCTAGACAGGAAAAGGGATGTTTCTTGCCCTGACCAACTGAACAGCTATGGAGAACATATTCCAACATGATGGCATTTGGAGATCCCCAAAAGCTCTACATATGCAATCACCATGACTCAAAATTAGTCAATAAGTTCTGTGCAGGTAAAGAGAGCTACCAATAAACTTTCTAATGTCTCATTCAGATATGAATGAACCAACAAAAATCAGAGATTTGAGTAAGGCTTCAAACACAAAAAAACACAAAATAGGCTGAGCACAGGGGCTCAGGCCTATAATCCTAGCACTTTGGGAGACCAAGGTAGGAGGATTACCTGAGGCCATGAGTTTGAGACCAGCCTGAACAACACAGCAAGACTGTCTCTACAAAAAATTACCAGGGATTCTTAAACCGAGCTCAAGGAAAAAAAAATTTTTTTTAATTAACCAGGTGTGGTGGCATAAACCTCTAGTACCAGCTACTAGGGAGGCTGAGGCAGGAGGATCTCTTGAGCCCAGGAGGTTTGAGGTTGGAGAGAGCTATGACACCACTGCACTCTAGCCCAGGCAACAGAGTGAGACCTTGTCTCAAAAAAAAAAAAAGGACTAAAAAGTAGAAATCAGATGACGATGCTAGGAAAAATACAAAAACTAAAGGTGAAAAAATTTCAATTATAAGAGGTGGAAGATGGGTAGATACGAGTCAAGAGACCAATCTTTTTTGGTATTATGAGAATGAGACTTTTTAAGGCATATCCTTCTTATACCAGTATTTTTAAATTAAAGGATGGGGTGCATCCATTTTCATTACCTCTTGACATCTTACTAAAGTTTTTTTTTCTTTTATGTCTCAACTCACAAAGATAATTAATTGGAGCTAGAAAGAAAACAGAACACCCACACACACATGCATACACACTGGAAGCTGGTAAGCAGACAAACAAGGACAACTGTCTTAGTAGACCAAAGAAAGCAGACCTGGGCCTGCCACAAGAAAAACCGAGAAGCAACCTTTCACCAATGAACACCAAAGGGCTAAGAACTGATGACTAGATACTTCTGGAAATGAAGATAAATATGGTGGTGGTTGCTAAGCACAAAGCACTGGTTGAAAGTCTGTTTAAAAAGCATTCAGATCCCTGGATTCTTCCACATGGCACAGCTGAGCTACCGGTCCACCCATACATTAACAGAAACCTGAAAGTTTATTCGCTGGAAATGGTAGTCTCTAGTCTATAGAAACCAGGCATTGTTAAGGGTAAGGTACAATACCAAAAAGAAAGTTTAATGTGAACATTTACATGCTGAATACTGAGAACCCAGCCCTCTTCCCATAGTATTCAAAAGGCTGGCAGCCAGGTTTATACCCTGTAAGCATAAGAATCAAGAGACCTCTCTGGGGAGTCACACCAGCTCAAGAGAAAAGACCCAAGTGACCCAAAGAAACATCAACCAGATCACTCCACAAAGTCCACAGTTGACAAATGCACTCACAGACACAAAAGGTTCCCAACAAGCCATTTTACTATCTACTCTTACTTTATAGATGAAGAGACGACCAGACATCTGAGGAATAGCCTCTCACATGAAAAACAAAGATCAAAACAAACAGAAAAGCTTAACTTAGAGGAGATAAAAACTTAAGCAGGCCAGGCGCTGTGGCTCACGCCTGTAATCCTAGCTCTTGGGAGGCCGAGGCGGGCGGATTGCTCAAGGTCAGGAGTTCAAAACCAGCCTGAGCAAGAGCGAGACCCCGTCTCTACTATAAATAGAAAGAAATCAATTGGCCAACTGATATCTATATAAAAAAAAAAAAAATTAGCCGGGCATGGTGGCACATGCCTGTAGTCCCAGCTACCAGGGAGGCTGAGGCAGAAGGATCGCTCGAGCCCAGGAGTTTGAGGTTGCTGTGAGCTAGGCTGACGCCACGGCACTCACTCTAGCCTGGGCAACAAAGCGAGACTCTGTCTCAAAAAAAAAAAAAAAAAAAACTTAAGCAAAAATAAGAAAAAAAGACTACTCAATAAGGAAAAAGATGATATTGCAACCTCTATATATACCAATATGATACTGCAAAAAGTAATATGAAAAGAACCAAAAACAAACCTGAAATTCAAAACTGATGGAATGAAAACCTTGAAATGATTGGATGATTAAGTTCAGGAACCTCCTAGAAAGGAGGGAGAGAGGGAAAAAAATAAGAACATTCAAGGAACAGCCCAGAATTAGAGAAATTAGAATAAAGGAAATCACCACTAAAAGAATTATAGAAAATTTCTAGATATGAAAGACATGATTTCCAGCTTTAAAAGGTCAAACATCTAAAGTAACAGCTCCACAGCAGGGCGCATCATTGTGCAAGTTCAGGATATTGACCAAAATAAGAGATCTTCATGCTTGCGGGAAAAAACAGCTCATCTGTAGGATTAGGAATTGAGATACATGGGTTACATTGTATTTCTATCAGTACTGATTTGATTTTTGTTACCCAATGTGTAGCCCACAGACCAGCAGCATTGTCATTACCTGAAGGCTCTTTAGAAATTCAAAATCTCAAGCTCTATCTCAAATCTACTAAATATAAACCTGAATTCTGACAAGTTTCCTAAAGTGATTTGTATGCACATTAAATCTAGAGAAGCATGGATCTAAACAACTATGCAAGATTAGTGTTTGCAGTCTATTCCCCTTCAATGCTACTTTTCTCTTACTGTTTATTCTAAAACTATGTTCATCCTTATTTAAAATCTGTAAATGGTACAAGTTAATACTAGCATAAAAGCGCAAACTTACTTAGCCGATGTTCTAAATCTTAACACAAGTATGGACTACGTGGGCACGTGCATTGTCAAAACTGGCTGATTCACTCATTTCACTGTATGAAAATTATATATCTCAATTTTTCAAGAAGGACAATTATGAACTCCAATGAAAATAAAAAGTTCTGTAGGAAAATACAATCTAGTACACTCCACAGCTAAGTTATGAATGTCATTTATACAACGTGCACAAGTAATTGTGATCTAAACAAAATTACAATATAATATAACCACATGAAGAAGCTGAAAAGAATATGTATGTGTGTGGGAGGCAGGTGGTAAAAGAAAGCTGAATCCTCACCTTCTAACAGATATCAAAAGATATCAGGAGTTCGAAACCAGCCTGAGCAAGACCAAGACCCCTGTCTCTACTATAAATAGAAAGAAGTTAATTCACAACTAAAAAAAATATACATAGAAAAACTTAGCCGGGCATGGTGGCGCATGTCTGTAGTCCCAGCTACTTGGGAGGCTGAGGAAACAGGATCGCTTGAGCCCAGGAGTTTGAGGTTTCTGTGAGCTAGGCTGACACCCCGGCACTCTAGCCCGGGCAAGAGTGAGACTGTCTCAAAAAAGGAAAGGAAAGGAAAAGGAAAGGAAAAGGAAAGGAAAAGGAAAGGAAAAGGAAAGGAAAAGGAAAGGAAAAGGAAAGGAAAAGGAAAGGAAAAGAAAGGGAAAAGGAAAGGAAAGGAAAGGAAAAGGAAAGGGAAAAGGAAAGGAAAAGGAAAGGAAAAGGAAAGGAAAAGGAAAGGAAAAGGAAAGGAAAAGAAAGGAAAAGGAAAGGAAAAGGAAAGGAAAAGGAAAGGAAAAGGAAAGGAAAAGGAAAGGAAAAGGAAAGGAAAAGGAAAGGAAAAGGAAAGGAAAAGGAAAGAAAAGGAAAGGAAAAGGAAAGGAAAAGGAAAGGAAAAGGAAAGGAAAAGAAAAAGAAAGGAAAGGAAAAGGAAAGAAAAGGAAAAGGAAAGGAAAGGAAAGGAAAGGAAAAGGAAAGGAAAGGAAAAAAAAGGAAGGCAAGGAGAAAGGAAAGGAAAGGAAAGGAAAGGAAAGGAAAGGAAAGGAAAGGAAAGGAAAGGAAAGGAAAGGAAAGGAAAAAGAAAAAGACAAAAAAATTGAGACACAACAACAGGGGTATATTACCAGAAGATATTGAGGTTAATGGGA